CGTCGGTGTTGGTCACGGTTAGCCTGACTTGTTCAATGGGGGAGATGTCTTCGTTGTCGTAGTTTTCTTCGTTGGCTACATGTTTTTCAGGGTCGGAAGGTTTGGTGCTGGGATGAGGGGCCTGTATTTCCATAGAGCTCATGCTGGAGGCTTTGTGTAGTGAGAGATGGGCTAAGGCTTAAAAGGATTCTATTTATTGAACATGTGAATAGCGTATACGGAATAAATATATTGGGATTATGCCAAGCGCATATATCCATATAATATAATATAAGGGTATCGTTTCCTTTTCTTAAAAAAAGACAATAAAGAATTTGGGGTGCCTTGAACTTGGCACAGAGAACCATTCTGATTGTTAATTATTGGTTGATAAAAAGAAAGAAAGAAAAGTGTGGGAAATGCCAATGCATTATGCATGTCGGCCTTGGACTTAAGTGGTGCTAATAAAACGCAGTGTGAATCCTTTTTGGCTGATGGGTTCAAATATCTCTTACTCCATTTTTAACGGCTTCAATCTCAGGTTTCAATCTAACGAAATAGAAAGGTAAGTTTTAATTTGATTAAAATTTGAAAGACTTTTTTTCTTGGACTAATATATAATTTTTATTTTTTTGTAATTTCCAACAGGTCACTTTGCTTGCCATTCTATCAAATTGGCCAGCGCAACCATGATCTGCCAAGATATGCACAAGCACTAGTGACAACTCCATAGCTTATATCTTTGCAAATTGAAGAAAATTCTTTTTAATTTAGCTAAAAATTATCAAACAAGGTGCTGATAATCCCAACCCAACCACCTAACTAGTAATGACAAAAGCAAGTACCAAGCTGCAATTTTAGAATAATATACAGGGTTGATTACCTGAGTGGTGGTGATCAGAAGCCAACCAGCCAGGAATGATATACTCCGACCATAAAAGGCTTTGATGATAGTAACAATACCAACTGCATAAGCAGAACCACTTCCAAATGCACTTCCTGCATTTGCGAAGATGGATATAAGAACGTGCTCTTTCATGTTGAAAGGACCTGGGTTCAAAGAAAACTTTCTGGACCCTAGACCGGGCAGCTTGAACTGTGCCCTGGGAAGCACAGCAGCCATGAAACGGCCTATGGGAAGTGTGGCTACCTGGACTGTGATTTGGGTTATGATAAGTGGTTCTGTCCTATAGGCAAAGAACTGATTGAGAAAAGAGAGAAGGGCGCATGATAACAGTCCCAAAACCCACATTCGGAAGGTCCATACAGGGAGGGTCGGATCATCGGTGTTGGTTACAGTTAGCCGGACTTCTTCGATAGGTGAGAGCTCGTCGTCGTTGGAGTTTGCCCCGTTGATCACACGCTTTTCAGGGTCCAAGGTGGTGGCAGTAGGGGCTTGTACTTCAAGGGAGCTCATGATGAAGAGTAATGTTGGTCGTTGGGAGATAGGTCCAGTAGGAAGGACATAGGAGGCTTTTTATTGCATGAGGAAATGGACTTTCCGTGAAAACGGGCCAAAATTAATAAATTATGAGTCAATTTTTATGACGAATCACCCATGTAAGTGTAAAGTGACATAAGGTATTTAAGTTTCAAGTTGATTGACCGATCACCTTAAACAGGGTGTAATAAGATTTGAAAGGTAAAAGTTGGATTCCCATAATTCATGTAGGGTTCTCGAACCCACTTGTACGTTCTAGTAATAAATTATAGCCACTCGTTTACATTTCGTGGGGATAAACCCTAAAGCATTGTTTCTAGTCTTGAGCCTTGACTCATGATACTGAAGTTGGAAGTCGCAGTTAATTAGCACGAAATGGCAGGATCATGACAGCTCATGATGACTTTCCACATTAATTAGTAGCAATCAATGTTTATCAATTCAATTTAGTTGTTGTCAGACACCGGCCAATTACCAGCAAGCTTAATCGGACGCGTTGAGGACGGAAACAGAATTGTCACTATGCTTTAATTGATCCACGTAAACTAAATATATACATATCTGATATAAAAGTGTCCTTAATTTGCCTCATTATGGAAATTGCGGTTTGGTTGGATTGAGGGGTATAGGGATCAAACCATAATCAAACTAAACTTAGTGCTAATATCACATCTATTACGAGATCTTCAGGCGCTTCCATACAGAATCACCTCATCTAATTGCTTCATGTACGCTGATGATAATCCAGCAAATCATATATATAAAAATGGCAATTGAGGGAAACAAGTACTCCTACCAGCAGCCGACAAATTGAAGAGCAAATGGCAGGGTCTGAAAGCCCATAGCAGCAATATATTGACTGGCATGCCATATAAAACCAAAGGAAGCTAGCTAGCTTTTTGAACGCTGCCTTTTCTTTCAACTTGTTCAAAGCCAGCTGCAAAATGCTCATATAGTCATGTTTCTCTGCTTTTCTGTTTCTTGTCCATCAACTCACATGTTGTATCATACTTAAAGATACAAGGAGAGCTAAGACTTTTCACAATAGGTGAAGACATTTTTCACACATGATTGAGTAGTTATAGCCTTTCAGGCGAGTTAGTTCCAGCATATACGGTTCCCGTACGCAATGCCATATGCCCAAGGAAGGATTTAGCCTCCATAAACAAAAAGAAAAAGCAACGTCAACGGGTTTTGTCGTTTAATAAATACAAAAGATAAGGATTCCTTGGATCTCAGCCAAAGATACAGTAGCGAACCATGGAATCATATTCAATCCAGTTTTCCGTGGACGCAATACGGCTGGGGTTCGAGCTACAATTTCTCTTGGCCATCGTTTCAGATCATAGCCACTTCAATGCGGAAGCTGACGAATCAAAAGTCAACCTCGCTCCCTGTTTTGTTACGCCAATCTTCTATAATTCCAATCCCTTTCTCTTTTTCCATCACGTTGTGCCGACGACTTGACAAAACTTGTCGCCCTCATTATCGACGTTTGGGACAAAATTTTCCTCGGGGAGTAAGGATAATTGGTATCCAAATTCCATAGAATCCAATAATTATAACAAGCATAATTTGATTTTCTAAGCTTTAGATTTGACATGTTTGTTTATAGTTAAGGTCAAAAGCATTGTCTCTTTGTTTGATTTGAATCAGCATTACGCATACCCTACATTCAACTTTAGCATCCTTGCGTCTCTTCTATCTTGTACCAACCTCAGCTACTACGTACGCTGACAATAAAACCCCCCTTCATTTTATTAGAACATCAACACATTGTTTCAAATTATTCCTTTCTTTTTTTTTTTTTTGGTGCATTAAATTCCATCCATTAAAACCAAAAAGAAAAGAAAAGGAAAGAAAAGTTAGGAAAACCCACTAAACTAGTTGCTTTCGTGATTCTAGAAATTGCCCTTTTCTTCTGCGTCTTGTCAAATTCTGAATATTCGAAGTGATCTATTCGTGTCACCGTAGTCAAGCATGCTGACCCAGGCCATCAAACAGACTCTTGGCAGTCAACGTAAGCCCTCGGCTCGGTTTACCATTTCCCGTCTCATGGGTAGGCCCAGGAAGATATAACAGTGGGCTGCTCCTCTGAATTGGGGAGACGGGTCCTTAGTAGTTTCTAGGTTAGCATCTTATCCCTGATCCCTCGAATCTCATAAGACCCGTTCAAATTATCCAGCGGCCCATCGCCACGTAATTGCCAATGCTAATCATTTTATCAAATATTCCAAATGATTCACATTATTTATATTAATTAACATTAATCAAATTTATTTTTTTCTCATATTAATTTTAATTACTGTTTGATATAATCAATTAAGCTTTCCAAGAGTTTGCTTTTATACATCGTTAGTAAAATGGAATGTAAAGTAAAATATGAAATTGGCACTTGAATATTAATTTTGTTTAATGATATGTGTGTGAATTTGTCTATTCAAGCGGATTTTAAATTTTCATCCTTAAAAATCATACTTAATAAAAAAATAAAATTAAAATGAATATAATTTTCATGCACCATTTCACTTCTCGTGAAATAAGAAAACATTTCAAATGTATTATTTAATCAAGTATATTATTTTTATGTTACATATTTTCCACTTTTATTTCTTTATTTTTTAAAATTATAAAAATAATAGGATGTCATAAAGGATTTTTTTTAATAAAACACAATCTATATAAATAAATATATAAGCACATTTCCATCTACCGTATTAATAAGCATATAAGCATGTTATATTTACCATGTAAATATGAAATAATTAGTTTTCTTCAGAATAAAATAAATACTTGAAAAACAGTTTTAATATTTATATTATAATTGAAAATAAAAAAAATAAAATCACACTTTTAACATTAACATTATAATTGTTTAGGTAAATAATAACACAAAATCACTTTTTACAAAAATTACAATTAACAATTTATTTATCCAGTTGACTTGATTTATATTTATTAATGCATATAAATATGTGATTGAGTAAACATCACAGATAACAATTTTACTAAATAATTTTTGGTAAGATAATTGTATAAATTATTTAGTTAAAATTATAATACAGAATCATTACCTAATAAGATTAGAATACTTAATTAGCGTTACATCATGAATAAGATTAACTTTATATTTATTTAAAACAAATTTCTTAATCTTAGCAAGGCCAAGGCGGGAGTGTTTTGACTTTGGAGAGGTCAAACTGGAACGGGGGGTGGAAGGCAGAGAATTGAGGCTAGACATTGTCGTTGCAAGCCGCGGGCAGCAGATATTCTCAAACGTTGACAAAAACGCAGCAGTGTGTAGATATTCTACTTTATAAACAACATCACAAAAGGTATGTGATTAACTCTTCCTTCTTCTACCAGATAACCAAATTAAGAACAGACATCCAAACAGACAGAAACAATTGGATTGGGCACAAATCTTTGAGTTGTAGCAAATCTTTGTCGGAAACACATGGACTTGGAAGGGGTTGCTAGATTACATGGCACAACTAAAAGGAGGAGGATAAAGCAACAACTTATTCACCGGCCATAAATATAGGCCGCTTCCCCTGTTTTAACTCTTTACCTCATAAAATTATCTTTCTTTCCCTTCAAACAAAGATAATTGACTTGATATTTATATCCAAGGTGGACTTAAAATATACTAATCACGACTGAACCGGAAAGCGTGATTAGCATTACTACGATAATCTATTTTAAATTTGGTTGGAGAATAATTATAGTAAAACCTGAAGTTTCCGAGAAACTACTACCACAACGACGCACGTCTCCCTTTTTCCCTAATCTATCTCGTTCTCTCCGACCTTTTCCTTTTTCTAAAATATTTTGAAATTGAATTATTCAATATTGTGTCATATCTGGTTGGTTAAACCACTTTGAATGAAGCCACACTGAAGACTTTTGGATCTTTCCTGATGATGTTTTTCTGGTTGGGTTTCAACAGGCTTCGCTAATTTCTGATCTGGGTTTTCTTGTTTGCGCCAAGATATTCCTGTTTTTCAAGATTTTTTTTAATAGAGGTAAGCAAGTTATTATGCAGTTTCTGGCTGTTGAAATGTTTGATAATTGCATGGTATTTTGTTGATGGGATTAGTGAATGGTAAAATTGGAATCTTTGTGGCTTTCAGGAAAACACCAGTTGCCATTGTTGCAAGTTTGGTGAATAAAAATCTGATCTGGGTTTCTGTCTATTGGATCTCTAGAGTTGGTTCTGCTTTCATTTGAAGCCATTCATTTCATTCACTGCGGCAGCTTTTCTTTGAATAATCTGAAACCCCATTGGATTGAATAGAATACTTGAGTTAGAAATTTCTGAGTTGTTCAATCTTTGACCGAACTCATTGTAATTTGCTAACTTGATTGGTCAAAGGTGGTTGAATAGAAGTTATGGATTTAGGTCGGGAAGAACCGGCTGGAGATGGAGAAATGGAGGAATTGGTTAGAGTATCCTCTGTTGATAATCCTCTCAGGGAAAATCATCTTCAGAGAACACATTTTCCTGGCATGGTAAGACAGAAAGCATATATTTTTGACGGTCTTGGAAATTATTATAATAAGGAGTGGGATCTTGCTGAAGGTGGTGGCAAGGAGTTTTGTTGGTACCATGTAGAACTTCCAAAAGGGAATCAGAAACTCTCGCAATCTGCACAATACCTCATAGATGTTCTTTGCCCACCTTTAAAACTTCAAGACATTCTCTCACTTGTTAGCAATGGGCCATTTTGTGGACACGTTGATGGAGCGCTTGTCTTTAGGGTTAATTCACCTGGCCCTCCCTCCAGTAATTTTACATTTAGACTAGCTGCCAGGGTTACTGAGAATTCAGTGATTACTGTGTCTTTGGGACGTGTTCCCAGATTAGGTTTCTCACCGGTTGGTCAATCTCTTCTCTCAGAGATTCCTAGTGTTGAGAGTCCATCTTATCATAGAGGAGAGAGGAAGGAAGGGAGTGGGATTGTTATTAGAGAGCATGTTCTTGAGTTCTTATTGACAATGAATCACTCTGAGGAGGCTGATAATCCTGTTCCAAAGTCTGTCTCAAACCTTGTAGTTCACATCATTGATACGCATGTGGATCACCTTCAAGATGTTGTTACTAAACTTGAGATGGAGCTGGATTCTGTGGAACTTGAGTTGGATAGAGGTACATTTCATCCAACACAATTTATTGGGCCCCTTTCGAATAAACACTTTCCTAATTTATTCTATGCTAAATTGGTTTATAGCTCTCTGTGCTATGGATTATGAAACAGTTTTGATTTCCATACTTCATTTATTGATGCATATTTCAATTTCACATGGCCATAAGTGCTTTAAGGATTTTCGTTGACACAGAATGAGCTTGTGAATATGGAATCAATTTGAACTGCAAATGCAAGTGGCCTGTAATATTGTTTCAATAACTTTTAGGGCATTATACTGTCTGAATACTTAGGATGAATACCATTTATGTATATTTTTCCTTCAAACCATCCTTGGAATTAGCTGTAACCTCTTTGAGCAAAGGTTAGGACACCAGAGGTATTAGAGCATTTACTACTGGTGTATAATTGCATTGGCTTTCCATATCTTCACTCTTTACTTGAGATACGAGAAAATATAGTTATTTCTCATTTTTGTTCCCTTGCACCTTCTTTGCTCATTGCCAAGTTTATATTTCACACTTTTTAAGGTTGCATGATTTATTCTGGCAATGAAGTTATCTGTAGATGAAGTCATATGCTTTTTCTGCTTAATCTCAGGTGGATTTGCTCTGAAGAAACAGATGCTAGATGATAGAAGGTTCCCAAAAATGCATCTAAATTTGCAACGTCTCCTGCAGGTAATTTCTCTTTCCCACTTGTTTTCTAAATGGCCAAGAGTGCAGAAAACACTTAAGTTGCTTGGTGGTTGATTGCTTAACTTAGGCTTTGCGTTTGAGGAACTCTTTTGGGCACTCAAAACCTCTATTGAGGAACAATATAGTTAAAAAGAACAGAAGGCCAACCCTTTATGGGGATGTGATGGATGTTTGCCCCTTGTCAAACTACATTTTAATGGGTTAAAATTGCTTTGGTTTTCATGGCCATTAAGGTTTCGCTTTTGAAGGTTGCTGAAATTCCAATGATAGGTTGTGCTTGCACTCATATATTCTGAGTCATCCACAGGGATGTGATTTGGTTGAAAGTCCCATTTATTTTGAGTTTTGGTTTATTGGCTGTGCAAGTAAGACCACGAGAATTGAACCCTCTTTGCTTATTTGTATGTTCCAAAAATGCAGGTGATTGCCCATGGTGAGCAAGTATATCCCCGAGTAAAGGAAAAATGTTCTTCTAAAAATTGGTTTGCAATTGAGGACATCAGCTCCCTTGAAGAGCTGATTGGGCGCTTGAGGAGGCTGAAAGAGAATGTAGGGTTTCTAGCAAATCGTGTTACTGCGATTCAGGCTGGTTTGGATAGCTGGCAGTCGGAGCAAATTAACAGAAAACTCTATTATCTCTCTTTTCTTTCCATAATATTCCTTCCTTTGTCGGTTATCACCGGAGGTAATAATTTGATTTTTGTCTACCTTTCCCTTATTATAGGAGCTCTGATTTGTTGATGGATCTTAGGTGGCAACATTGAATCCTTTGCTTTTTGTTCAACATTTCAGTGTTTGGGATGAACGTGGGTGGAGTTCCATGGACTGTGCAAAAGGACCCTGCACTAAATGATGGTTTCCGCAATGTCATGATTATCTGTGTAGCAATGCTGTTTCTAGTTTTGCTCTGCTTTATTTTCCCTGCTCTTTATACCCGATTGACTGCCTGGCATAGGAGGAGGTCTTTGAGAAGAAGTTGGTCTCATAACAGGAGATCTTTCCTCAAGAGAACCATTGGAATTCAAGAAAGAGGTGGTTACCTTAGGATTTGACAGAATTAAAGAAATTCATTACCATGGTATTTTTCTCAATCACACATGCCAAGGGTACCATTTTATGCACCGATAGAGAGTGGTCAATAGCATCATTTAACTGGGCTAAAATTAGGAATACGTTGTTCATCACTTACTCGTATTTAGGCTAGAGGTGATGATGGCTCTTTGTTGGAGGGGAGTCTTATTCTTTCGCTCATTTGTTGTTATCTTATTTCATTTTTTCTGTACAGGTGGTTCTATTAAATTTTGGCTGTACAAACGCGTAAAGTTTTCAGTTTATTGCGATCTCAATTTGATGGTAATTGCAACTCAGTGGCACTCCCTTTTAAGTTTTCCTTTGAATATTTGATGGTTTTTCAATGATGTTGCTGATTCATCTCCCAAGTCTCAACATTAGCTTTATTGAGGAATCTGGAAGTCAGGTTTATTAGCTGTGAAAGCTGGAATTTGGTTTGAATTTTTGAAGATAGTAACAGAAATTGCTTGAGAAGTGCTAAAAATGACGTCAAAGGTGTACTTGGTGTCCATGTTGGGCTCTGTTTCAGTATATGGAGGTGGATTAATCATCATCCACTCCCAGTTCAAATGCCTTTATAACATATATAACTTTGTGAATATATCTAGTTTCATGTTCCATCTGAATTCGGATTGAAACCATGCATACCAAGCATATAGCTCAGAGGAAACCATCAGAACCTATTTTAAGTTGTTGAAACTACACACACTTAGAGCACCATCTTGAATTAGTTGTGTTGATTAGAAGCCATTGCCTCACTGGTGCATTGGTAAAGGTACTTCTTCAGAGAAATGCCAAAGGGGTAGGATTATTAACAGAGATTGCCCTCCCATGATCAGTGTCTGAAACCATTTTCTTCAGTTTCACTTAAACTTCAGGCTTACCCCCTTTCCTTCTGGAGTCACATACAACATGTCAGGGAGAACTAGCCAAAAGCCATGAAAAATATAAGGATTACTTGTATAATCTTTTGCACTCAGGATATCTGCAGTGCAGCTTCCTTTGAGAATTTGTCAGCCTATCTTGAGCCACAAAGACTCAAGTGTTATTAAGAGCTCAGTGCAAACCATAACCAAAGGGAAAGCAGCCAATCAAATTTCATGTGAGCAGGTAGCTTTGCTGGCATAGAAAGTGCCAAACCAGCAATTGTGTGAGCCACACCTTTCTTACTTTTAGTTGAGGAATAGCATCTAAGAACCTTTTGTGACAAATGTTGCCTGCATTACCTAATTATCTCATGACACATGAAATAGAGCTGGATTAAACCATTCTACATCTCCTTCCAACTTTCCAAACACACATAAACTAAAAAAGTTGGACAATTTCAAACAACATTACTCAATTAATTATCTCACATTCAAACTAATTAATTAATTAATTATTATGATAAATAAAAAATATATTAACAATCATTTATAAAATTTAAAACTTTTTCTCACGGAATATAAAATAATTATCCTAATTGCAATTAGTTAAAATTAAAATTTATTCCTAAAATCTGTAATTACAAATTCTTGTTGGGACGCTCAAATTAGTTCTTAGCCTTCAGTATTCTCCTTAAAATGGACAAAGCTCAATAACCATTCTTCTTCAAGTCAAACCTAACAAAACATAGAAATGCTGTGGCTCCATTCAAGCCATCAGATCGGGTTTCGATGACGTGGGGTATCATTGACCGTGCAAACTGCAGAAAAACGCTAAAAGGTTGGCAGAGTACGTTCGGTCGTTGACCTAGAACCTTCTATATCCTACCAGAAAACCCTCTTTAACCTCCATTTCCACCTCATAAAAAAGTAAAAACAAGTAAAATATCTTTACCCTTAAATTTTGATAAAATTACATAAATATTCATTAATTTTTAAAATAAACACTTCACTTCAAAATATATTTATATTTAAGTTAGATTTAATATTTAATTAATTATTAATATTTCTCTCAAAATACAAATAAAAACATAATTTTATTTTTAATTATTATTATTATATAATTTTATTTTTTATTAATTAAAAAAAAACTCAGCACCGGGGCAGGGCTTCTCTTGTTGAGTTGGGGGCACAAATCAGTGTTTTATTTATTTATTTTTTATAAAAAATATAACAATAATTTTTTTAATTAATTAAAAATATTTTAATTTTTTTTATAATTTTTATTATCGATATTTATATCTTTGAAATAGAATGTCATTTCAACAATTAATACATTTTTGTATAATTTAACAAAATTTAAAATAAAGATATTTTATAAAAAAACCACTTATACAATCAAAAGTTTTGGACAATTAAAATTCAATGTAATAGAAAAGTTTAAGGCAATTAAAATTCATTTAAATAAAGTTGATTGGATTGAAAATAATAAAAATTAATTAAATTTAAAAATATAAAATAAAAAATTAACTATATAAAATAATTTCTTTATACTATCTAAAATAAATTCTAATCAAATAAAAAATTAAAATTATACTCTTAATAAAAATCTTCTTCTTAATAAATAAAATTTAATATACTAAAATCTTATAAAATAAATTCCTGCATGTTCCTAAATCTTAAACCCTAGAAACCTCTTCTCCTCACCTTTTATATTAACCCACAAAGCACCTCCAATCCATTTCTTCGTCGATCCTTCCCTGCTCTCACTAAGTTAAAGCTATGGCTACGGCAGCTCTGCTCCGTTCATTTCGACGCCGTGACGTCGCCTCTGCACCCCTCTCCGCCTATAGATGCGTAAGTTTCCAGCTCTTTAATGTTTGCTTTAAACTTTTGTGTTAGCGTTTGGTGATTTGCTTTATTGATCTGTGTTTTCTGGTAGGAAAAGGGAAGTTTATCTAGATATTCTCGTGTTATATCATTTTATCTGGAGGTTGGTTAAAAGCAGTAGAACTTGAGCTTTTGTGAGCTCATGTTATATCATTTAATCTCGTGTTATATGTTGGATTTTTTTCATTCATTTAGAGTAGAACTTTTGTGAGCTTTTTTTGTTTATTGATTTTGTGTCTTTTGAATCGTGAGCTTAGTTAGTTCTTTACCGAGAATTGAGGTACTGTTCTTATAGCCAAGTGGCTCTTTGGATCAAGCTGGTTTAATCTTTCATTAATTTGTGTTAAATATTGGCCGGGGGTTCTTGAATTTTGTTTGAGACTTAGTTAAGTATGTAAAAATGGTAATTGGAGTTCATTTGTCAAGTACTTCTTAGTGAAGGAAATGACTTATGCTTATTTGGTTGTTGTGCAGCTTACTAGCAAGGGCAAAACCTCAGGAGGAATTAATTGGGCAAGTGTCTCTAGAGCTTTCAGGTAACCATGGTTTGGGTTATTCTTATTGTGTATTTGTTGTAAATTTGTCATTGCACAATGTAACTCTGGATCTTTTCGTTTAATGCAGTTCAAAACCTGCTGGAAATGATGTCATTGGTATTGATTTGGGGACAACAAACTCATGTGTTGCTGTCATGGAGGGAAAGGTAAGAATTAGGCCAGTGAGCAGATGTTCTTAACGATTTTTCTGTTAGTTTTGGAAGCTGAAGTTATTTCATTATAGTCTCTGATTGAGTCTGTTATTGATTACAGAATCCAAAAGTTATTGAGAACTCTGAAGGTGCACGGACCACACCATCTGTTGTTGCCTTCAACCAAAAGGGAGAGTTGCTAGTTGGCACCCCTGCAAAACGTCAGGCTGTGACCAATCCAACTAATACAGTTTTTGGAACCAAACGTCTGATTGGTAGACGATATGATGATCCCCAGACACAAAAGGAAATGGGAATGGTTCCTTACAAGATTGTCAAGGCTCCCAACGGAGATGCATGGGTTGAAGCAAATGGGCAGCAATATTCTCCTAGCCAAATTGGGGCGTTTATTTTGACAAAGATGAAAGAAACTGCAGAGTCTTACCTTGGAAAGGGTGTTTCTAAAGCGGTTATCACTGTTCCAGCCTATTTCAATGATGCTCAGAGGCAAGCAACTAAGGATGCTGGTAGAATTGCAGGTCTTGATGTTCAGAGAATAATTAATGAGCCTACTGCTGCTGCACTTTCATATGGAATGAACAACAAGGAGGGTCTCATTGCAGTCTTTGATCTTGGTGGTGGGACATTTGATATTTCAATTTTGGAGATTTCTAATGGAGTCTTTGAGGTATGCTTGTTCGTTTCTAAGAGGTTTCGTTTTAGTAATGTTTAGGCAAACTGTACTAATAACTATCACATCCAGGTCAAAGCAACAAATGGCGATACTTTCTTGGGAGGAGAGGATTTTGACAATGCCTTGCTGGATTTCTTGGTGAGTGAATTCAAGAAAACTGAGGGAATTGATCTTTCAAAGGATAGACTTGCACTCCAGAGGCTGCGAGAAGCTGCTGAGAAGGCTAAAATTGAACTCTCATCAACATCACAGACTGAAATTAATCTGCCATTTATAACAGCTGATGCTTCTGGTGCAAAACACTTGAATATCACACTGACCAGATCAAAGTTTGAATCTTTGGTAAATCATTTGATTGAGAGGACTAAGGCTCCTTGTAAGAATTGTTTAAAGGATGCTAGCATCTCTATAAAGGATGTTGATGAGGTTCTTCTTGTTGGAGGGATGACACGTGTACCTAAAGTACAAGAAGTAGTTTCAGCAATCTTTGGGAAGAGTCCAAGCAAAGGAGTGAATCCTGACGAGGCAGTTGCTATGGGAGCAGCAATTCAGGGTGGTATACTTCGTGGAGATGTTAAAGAGTTGCTTCTCCTTGATGTCACTCCTCTGTCGCTTGGTATTGAGACACTAGGTGGTATATTCACAAGGCTTATTAACCGGAACACAACCATTCCAACAAAGAAGAGTCAGGTGTGTCTTTGGTGCTAAATGTTTGCCTATCTCCTTTTAGTAGACAGACATTCTATGTCATATAAGCTTAAATAGTCTTGAGACACAGTAAGTTGATCACATATTTTGGTGGTTTTTTTTTTTTTTTTTGCTTTCGATCATGTCTTCTATGAATGATATTTATCTTCTTGTTTCATGTCTGATGGGGGTTCCTTGGTATACAGGTGTTCTCTACTGCAGCTGATAACCAGACTCAAGTTGGTATCAAGGTACTTCAAGGTGAGCGTGAAATGGCTTCTGACAACAAGCTTTTGGGTGAGTTTGAATTGGTGGGCATCCCCCCTGCACCTAGAGGCATGCCTCAGATTGAGGTGACATTTGACATCGATGCCAATGGTATTGTCACTGTTTCTGCCAAGGACAAGGCCACTGGGAAAGAACAGCAGATTACCATCCGATCATCCGGTGGTCTTTCTGAAGATGAGATTGAGAAGATGGTTAAGGAAGCTGAGTTGCATGCCCAGAAAGACCAACAAAGAAAATCTCTGATTGATATCAAAAACAATGCGGACACCACTATTTATAGCGTAGAGAAGAGCTTGAATGAGTACAGGGACAAGATTCCTAGTGAAATTGCAAAAGAAATTGAGGATGCTGTTTCAGATTTGAAGAAGGCAATGGAAGGAGAAAATGTTGATGAGATCAAGGCCAAGATTGATGCAGCGAATAAAGCTGTCTCAAAGATTGGGGAGCACATGTCTGGTGGTTCTGGTGGTGCGCAAGGAGGTTCTGCAGGAGGTGCTCAAGGCGGTGACCAGGCCCAAGAGGCAGAATATGAGGAGGTGAAAAAGTGATTCTGTTAGTTGTTTCTTTTGAGCGGCATTGAGCCACTGCGAAGGGTGATGATATTGGTTTTTTGATGCATATGGGCTTTAGCAGTTTTTTCCTTTTTTTTTTTTGAATGTATTAAGCCTATTAGGATTTTGAGTCCGCAACACTTTCAACATAATAGATAACTCAAAATTTTTCTGAAAGAGCAAGAATAATTAGGTCTTCTTGACTTGTGAAGACAGTGTCTTTTCTTTTCTTCGTGTTACTTTTTTGGCTGCTTGTGCCCATTATTTATCGTATTCCAACGAGGTGCAACAAGATATATTAGAGCATCCGATCATTTAGTTTTCCCACTGGGGTTGGATTGGATTCTATTCTCTATTCCTAAACGCACATGCACAATATATATATATATAAAGAGCTACATAAAAAGTGGAGATTAAAGACCGCATACTGGTAAAAAGAAGGGTATTGTCGTTTTTATTGGAGATGCTTGAATTTAGTTAATTTATTATTTGATTAAGAGTGGTTTTATAAAATAAGAATAAAATAATTATATTAGCGATCTAGAACATGCGTCGTCTATTCATGGGTTGGTTTAAATAAGGGATAATTAAAATATAGTCTTTTTTTAACTTTTTCTTTGAAGCACAATGTTTTTCTTTGTCTCTTATTTGCAAAAACGGTTAAATGTCACTAAGCTTCGTTATGTCTTTAAATTATAATGTTCATCCACTTATTAATATAAATAGTGAATTAACGTGGATGTTATTCTTATGATGAACATGTTTTTTCTTCCCATGATGAACACGTTCTCCCTAAACGTGATCTTCTCTTAACATCCAATTAACAATTTCTAGTTAATACATCGATATAACAGACTAAAAATTCAACAGAAGATGGAGAGTTCTCTAGATAGAAAAAATGGTACGGCAACGACGCAAAATTAGAGTTGTATCGAGTTGAAGGGGTTGCTTTGGCTGTTGAGCTACTCAAGTCAGCTGGTCCTATGAAGTAGGGTGAAAGCAGGAAGAGGGCAGCGAATGAGAAATTTGAAGAGCCATTTGCGGGGTCTTGAGGCATATGATAAAGGAATGGGTGACAAGAAGAATGCCAGCAAAACAATCAAGTGCGTAAATTTTGTAGAAGGATCGTACCTTGGATTAACCAAGTCTTTTCTTCAATGTTTGGGACCATGGGTGAGCTGTTTCTTAGGTTGTAAGGTTGGGGGAAGCGTTCTCCCAAGCTTTACTAGGATCTTTTTCCTCAATTAATATTCCTAAATTTAAATTATTCTACTTACGTTACATTTTGTATATGTTCACGCAAACATGAAATTTTGGTAATTTTTTCAAATGAGATTGGGGTTCGATTAACTGTGCTTATATATATAAATATATTAATTAAAATAAATCAAAATTACTATTTTAAAATAAAAATTGTATCTAATACATTGTTTTCACTAAATTTAAGGAGTAGCAATTCATTGATTACAAATTTCTTTCATTAAACATGGCACTGCTTCACATTTCCCTAAAGATTCTTACCAAATCATGTCATGGAGTGACTGAGGGTCATTATACTAATTAATAAAAATTTACTAGTAAACTTTTTAATTAGAAAATTTTTTGAGACTGAAAGCTATTTTCATAATGTTTGGATAAGAATCGACCCATTTTTATGTGGGTTTGGGCTTTTTTATAAAGCATTGAACTTGTTCATCTGTGCTGCTGCCCTTAAAATGGCCCAAGTTGGGCCTCCAATCAAGAAATGAAAGCCCTGTTGGGCCTTGATTCCTGCATCCAAGGGTTGTCCAGAAACTTCCGACCCTACTCGCAATACAAACTAAACAAAAGGGGTACTTTCACAATATATGAGAAATACATAGGCTTCCATGCAATATCCGATTTCCCTTCCTTTCCCTTCTACCCCTCTTTTGCAAACGGCGCCACTCTTCCAAACCAAAACAATTTTACGTATTTTACCTGTTGCCACCCTCTCCTTAAACCCTAAATTCCCGCCCCCCAGAAAGGTCACTGCTTTCGCCAGAACCCTAAGACACGTCCCAATCGTCAGCTCTCTCTATCTCTCTTGCCCTATGCTTTCGCAACTCTAAACCTTTTTCTTCAGGTTTAACAGTTAGCTCTAGTAAGCAGCCTAAAACTGAAAGGTTCCTCCTTTTTTTTTTCTTTATATGTCTACAGATTTGGTATTACTTTTGCGAATAGTTTAGAGTTTTGAAGTTCATGCATTTATTGTTGATAATTTAACCCATTTTACTTATAGCATTATTTGTTATGAAGGCTATGCGTTTGCTTATATTATGTATTGATTCTTTTTTGGTTTGGAAGAGCGATTTTCATGCCCAGTTATTTATTGCAGGCGGTTTTCAGATATAGGGTTTTTTAATGGGTAGCAAGAAAAGAAGCACCAACTCTGTAGAGGAAGTGGTAGAGGGTCAAACAGATTTAGCTGCAGATAATACAGTTTCGAAGCCTTCCAATAAGAAAAGTAAGAGGTTTATCAAAACGGATGCACAGATGGGAGATGGGGTTGCTGCCTCTTCTGCTGTTCCTAGTTCCATTAAACCAATGGAGAGAAAAAAGAAGAGAAAACAATTAGACAAGGAGAGACGGCGTTCAGTTTTGGAAAATGAGGAATCTCAGCCCAAACAAATGAATGTTGAATCTAAAGGAAATGATGCTCGGGAAAATGTGGCATCTTCATCAACTATTGGTTTGCCTGAGTTCCACATCAGTGTTTTTAAGGACTTGGCCTCTGCTAATTCTTCTGTGAGAGAATCAGCTGTGGAAACTTTGGTGACAGAGTTGCAGGAGGTGCAGAAGGCATATGATAGGCTGGAGAACAAGGACTTCGTTGAGGGTGTCTTGAAATTGGAAGCTCAAAAGAATGATGGCTTGGATAACTGTGCATCATCTTTGAGATATGCTGTGCGTAGACTGATACGTGGTGTTTCTTCATCAAGAGAGGTTTGATCACTATCTCTATTCTTTGTCTCAGACAAATTCATGCAATTTCTTTTTAGGTTTTAGAACTTTATATCTTCCATTTTGTCCTGGATATCATATGCTTACACTTATGTGAAAAATAAATTAGTCCAAAAATTCTTTTTCTATAACACTTAGAGCAATCAATTTACATATGCTCTGTATATGCCATCTATGTTATTAACTGAATTTAGTGTAACATCCTGCACTTGAAGTGCACATGTAATCTTGCACAATATACTTGGCCACCATATGATAACTTAACCTGGCTAATTGTTGCCACTGGTTTTGCAGTGTGCTAGACAGGGTTTTGCATTGGGTTTGACTGCTTTGGTGGCCTCAAGTCCTAGCATTAAAGTGGACTCCCTGTTGAAACTTATAGTTGATTTGTTGGAAGTCACATCATCAATGAAGGGTCAGGTAGGCATTGCTTTCCCCATTGTATACGAGGTTGTGGTCTACTCACATAATGTTCAACAAGTAGTTTCTTATACTGCAGGAAGTAAGGGATTGCCTCCTGGGTCGCTTATTTGCTTATGGTGCCCTTGCTCGATCTGACAGACTAATTAAAGAGTGGTTTTCTGATAAAGATACTCTGCACATCAAGGAATTTATGAGTGCTATTATCTCCCTTGCTGCAAAAAAACGATATTTGCAGGAGCCTGCGGTTTCAATCATTTTAGAATTTGTTGGAGAGGTAGTTCCTAATGGAGTATATAGCCTTTTTCTTCAAAATATTCTTACTGTAGCTGCCAGAATGTGCGGGAATTGTAACAATTCTAAATCTATGCCACTTAAAATCAGAATTTTTGACTCATTAGATTTCGACAGTTGTAATGGGTTTTTGTTCATGTCAATAATAATACTAGTGAGTTGTTGCAATGGTTAGTAATGTATCATTATAAAGAATTTCATTAACATTCTTATGATTGAATGGTATACTAGGTAACTGCTTCATATGTGTTTAATTTGCAAGCATAATATGACTATTGACTGGTAATCTTCCTTGTTATTGTTTAGCAAGTCAATTACAATTGAACTTATTAATCTCTCATGCAACTTTTTTCTAATTTTTTTATGCTAGATCAATAAAACCACCAGAATCACTGTCAAGAACTTAATGAAGAAGCTATCTTTTCTAAATATTTTCCCATGGGAGGGTGGCTTTCTCATAAATGGATAGATAGATAATCTCTTGGAACATATTTTCTTTAAGTAGTTAAGTGCTATCTTTTTTTGTCCCTCTTCCTTTTCCTCTCCCTCCTTTTTATTCCATCTCTTTGTACATTTTCTGCCTCCTTGTCCTTGCTTCTATATATGTTGTCACTTGTTTTATCTTTGTGATGTATAATAACTGCATACATTTCTTGGTTGGCAATGATCATGCCGGGAGTGTAAGTATTCTTATGTGTATGTATGTCTTGGCAAGGCTCATGTCAGTAAAAGTGTTCTGGTTGCATAATGTGTTATGTTGATGTTTCAGTATTTAGTAACATTTCTATATTCTGCAGCTGCCTGATGAAGCATTGATGGATCATATTCTTGAAGCTCCAGGAATTCCTGAATGGTTTCAAGAAGCCATTAATGTTGGAAATCCTGATGCTTTGCTTTTAGCATTGAAAATTCGTGAAAAATTGTCCATTGACAGCACATCATTCGGTGAACTTTTGCCAAATCCATTCAGCTCAAGCAAACTTTTCTCTGCTGATTACCTATCCTCTATTGATAACTGCTTGAAGGTAACTTTTAATGCATCTGTATGCTGCAGGGGTAATTATTGAGAAAAATAAAGTTTAAATATGTTCTAAAAGTATTTTTCTTTGTATGTAATATGGCAGGAATCCACATTTTGTCAACCCCGGGTTCACAGTTTGTGGCCTGTTCTGGTAAATATTCTACTACCTGATACCGTTTTGCAGGCAGAAGATGTAGCATCGGTTTCTAATTCCTTTAAGAAGTACAAAAAGGGTCGCAAGTCTAGCTCTTCAGAAGAAGAAATTGTTAAGAACGTCCAATGTTTCTGTGAGGTTGTTATTGAAGGATCCCTCCTTCTGTCATCTCATGATCGTAAACACTTAGCACTTGATATTCTGCTTCTTCTCCTGCCAAGATTACCTTCCTCTTTTATACCAATTGTTTTGTCCTACAAACTTGTTCAGTGCTTGATAGATATACTTTCCACGAAAGATTCCTGGCTGTATAAAGTTGCGCAGCATTTTGTTAAAGAAT